CCGGGAAGGATACTTGGCTGGGGTGGAAATCTAGCTTGGCTTTTTTTTTCTTTCATTGCTGTACAAATATTATTCCACTGTTTTCCTACATCCATTGTATTTGAAAATCCAACTATTAATCTTGGCCTCTTGAATGTACACTCTTTTCCCTCTCCGTGCTTTTAAGGTTTTCTCCTTAACTTGAGTTTCAAGCAGTTTTACCTGCCTACGTGTAGTTTACTTTGTATTAATATAAAGTCCTGTGTGGATGCAGTGAGCTTCTGGAATCTTGATTGATATCTTTTATCAATTTTGGAAAATTCTAAACTACAATCTCTGTGGATTTTTCCCCCTTTCACTCCTCTCCTTCTGGGACTCTAGTTGTATGTGTCTTAGACTGTGTCCCACATTTCTGATCCTGTTCCTCCCATTCTTAGTTTTCTTTGTGTTTAATTTGAATATCTTCTATTGACTTGCCTCAGGTTCATAACATTAGTAGGACATACCGTCTAGGTTTGTGTAAGTGTACTCTATGACGTTTGTACAACCAAATTGCCTAAGAATGCATTTCTCAGAAAATAGTGTTGTTAAGTGGTGCACGACTAATATAGAACAATTAGTAATGATTTGTACTAACAAAAAGTATGGTGAGGTAGAGACTATTTAGGAACCCTCCATAATTATTATTTTAGAACAAGGGTAGCGTCCTTTCTGACATAAATGGTTTTAAAGTTTTCTCCATACCTTTTGATACTATCTGGGAATAGCCTCAATAGTTAATGTTTCTTTAATACCTTGCATCTTCTCATTAGAACCACAAGATAAATAATCTCTTTAGACTGATGAGCCAAAGTCATCTGTGAGTGGGCCTCCTCTTTCATGCATAAAAATTGGAAGGCCAGCGCTTCTACATATTGTATATTAACAACCCCCAAACCTTCCTTCATAGCCAGGTCAGTTTTTCATACATCATCTGACAGAACGTTTGTCACATGATGACACTTTTCTTCATACAGGGTGGGGCAAAAGTAGGTTTAGAGTTTTGAGTACTCAAAACACAGAATTTATTTGTGTATTATTTATTAATTACTGTATTATTTTCCATATTAACAAGTGTAAACCTACTTTTGTCCCACCCTGTATATTGTAATTTTAAAGACATACAGTGGAGTTTTGTGATTTAATTTTAATGTGTTTACATGCTTTTTTTTTTAATGGATAAGATGTGTTGACTAGTGGAATTATATAAGGATTTCTCTAGAAAGAAATATATATTGCCATTAGTTTTAAAAATTTAACGTATGGATAGATTTCTTATTTTTTTTCTTTTATTCTTCTTTTTAAAGAGTCCACACAGACTGTCCAAGCTCTGCAGTATTCAACTGTTGATGGTCCACTAACAGCAAGCAAAGATTTAGAAATAAAAAATTTAAAAGAAGAAATTGAAAAACTAAGGAAACAAGTAAGAGGTAAATTTCTGTGATTCACTATAAATGGAGTTTAGTAGATCTTTAAAAATGTTTTATTCCACACACACAACATTTATTGAGTACTTGTCATGTGTCATGTGGTCTGGGCTGTATGCTAGTGAAGGAGCAAATGAGAATGGTTCCTGCTCTCAAGGAGCTGACGTTTTGGCCTGGGAAAAAGATAAACAAATAGTTTTTGCAATACATACATGAAGGCTACAAAAAAATGAACATAGGTACATGGAGAGTACATAGGAGGCGCACCTAACCCAGATTTAAGTTAGCAAAGATGACTTTGTTGGAAGACCTATTAGTTTGGGATATTTAATTGGAATTTATCTGGCAAAATATACCTATGAGCAGGGGAAAGAGTATTGGGAGTGAGGAAGAACTGACAAGGGAATTACCTGTATGCAGGCATTATGGCATGTGAAATTCATTTTCAGTGTATTGCTGAGATTATAATTAATTTTGACAACGCTTGATGTACCTATTATATGCATTCATTAGTTCATTCATTCAACAAATATTTATTGAGCACCTACTGTGTGTACCAGGTGTTGTTTTAGGCTCTTGGGATGCTAGAAGGGACAAGAACTTCAAAATAGAGCAGGATAAGAGGAAAGGATCACAAGTGCGTGATGCGGAGTTTCATAATTTTAAGTAAGGTGGTCCAGGTATAAGCCTCATTGAAAAGGCGATTTGAACAAAAACTTGAAGACGGTTACGGGGCTTAGCCATCAGTTGAATTGGGAACTCATGTTGCAAGTAGAAGGACCAGCAAGTGCAAGGGCCCAGAGTCAGAAGGGGCCTCTTAGTTCAAATGAAACAGGACAGCATGGCTGGAGTAGGAGGAGCAAGCAGGGAGAATGGAAGCAGATGAGGCTGGGGAGCTAGAGGGGTGGAGAGCCCTTTTGTCTGATCAGTAGTCTTACTGAGTGTTTACAGGGCTTTGGGTTTTTTCTGGAAGTGAAATGTGAACCTTTTTCAGGGTTTAGAGTCATCCTGCAATCTGAGTAAGTTTAAAGAGAGAGCAGTCTATTTTATATTGATAACAGCTATTTATTCTCCCTGTTCATTATATAATTGTTTTAAGTATTTCCTCTCCATATATTTTAGAAGAACATCAGGCAAGCCTATAATGTTTCCTTCAGTCATGAAATATAATTTAGAAAACTGGAGAAAAAAATCCAATTGCATATACCCATATTTTTATATAGCATGCTCTTCCTTCCTTCCTGAAATTGCTGAGTTTCTTGCTTGCTTTCTGTTTAGAGAACTACTTTTAGCCATTTTTTAAAAGATGGGCCTGCTACCAACAGATTCTTAGTTTTGTTTCATCTGAGAATGTCTAAAATTTCCCCTTCATTCCTAGGGAATATTTTTGCTGGACATAGGATCTAATGTTCTTCTTGATGCTTCTTAAGCAAAATCTTTGTTTAAACAAATTACCCACTATTGAGGTTTTTATATCTTTTCTTTCCCTATAGTAACGTTTTCCAATATTTTAAAACTCTTAGAAAAATTTAGTAAATTTATAATTATTTACAATTTCATTTTAGTATCTGCTTTCCTCATTACACTCTGACTTCAAGAAGGTGGGACAAAGTTTCCTACCATATAATAGTCACTTAATGTATATTTTTTTACCATCTGCAGACCAAAATAAAATTCATACACTCATTTAATATTTTTATGAGAAAATGAGGATTTTTAAAAAAAATAAAACATTTTTGTAACCCATAATGCGCTTTATAACACCCACTCTTTTATTGCCTTGAGGTTGGTGGTTTGTGCCTCCATGAACTGTCTCTCTCCAACCCTAAACTCTTTCCCTCTCCCTTTCTTTCCCTCTTTCCCTCTCCCTTTCTTTCCCTCTTTCCCTCTCCCTTTCTTTCCCTCTTTCCCTCTCCCTCTCTCTCTCCCTCTCTCCCTCTTTCTCTCTTTTCCTCTCCTCCTCTCCCTCTCCTCCTCTCCCTCTCCTCCTCTCCCTCTCTTTCCCACTCCCTCTCTCTCCCCACCTCTCTCCCCACCTCTCTCCTCTAAATTATGTAAGTAAAGGAAAAGTATAGTGAGTGGATAGGGACAATAATAGATGTTGTACTCATGATTAGAGGTAAAATCTCATCTCACATGAGTTCTGAATTACTTTAGAAATAAGAGCATAATGGAAAAGCTATGACATTATGCTCTGTGGATCAGAGAGAGATGCTTTCCTTGTTGTTCCACTCTCCTTCTGACTCCAGTCTTAGCCCCTTTGCAATTTATCAAATGCAACTTTGCAAATATTTTCAAAAATTCTAAAAAAACTATGCTATCCATAAAAGTATTTAGGCTTTCAAAATACCTAAGATGAATAAGATTTTAATCTATAACTTTAGGGTACTAAATATTAGTAAATTATTGAATTTAAGAAATCTTGAACCAGTTAGCATGTGATACACTGATACATTTATGTGACTTTTTGACTATAGGACTTATCTATATAAATGAAATATTTACTCTTCAGTTGGACTAACATAGTATAAATACTACTTCATTTATTGAAAGCACCAAACTCAACAACGCACAATTATTTGTGCATTTGTTCTCATACTTTTAATTTGCAAACGAATCGCCAAGAATCTTGTTAAAATACAGATTCTGATTCAGTAATTCTGATTCAGTAGGTTTGGAGTGGGGCCTGAGACTCTGCATTTCTAACAAGCCACCAGAGGATGCTAATGCTACTTGTCTGAGGATATCACTCAGAGTAACGAGGTTGTAAAGAATAGAAAATATCCTGAACAGAATTAACAATGAATGTGTTTTGATTTTTCTGTTTTCAATGGCTTCGGTTCTTTAAATATTGCCAGGAACATTTTATATCAATTTTTTAAACATATACTAAATATAATTTATTTTGCTTCATAATAAATCTTTTTTAAGTGGTAATGTTAAACATTATAATAACATTACTTTCTAAATTGGAGAGACTGATGCAAGAATTCCTGGGCTCAGGTCTTAGCTTGGATACTCATTTAGCAATGTGCCCGTTGGCATGTTATTCAACTCCTTTGAGTCTCGGTTTTTTATCTGAAAAATAGAGGAATGGATCTCAGAGGTTTTTTTAAATACTTTTAGAAGTCAGAGTTTATTCTTCAGTAATCACTAGTAAAACCAGGCTGGGTGATCTGAAACCACAATATTAGAAGCGAAACCATCTTACAATGACTACCACCACCACACAAATGCCAGTCACCAGTGGAAGAAAACTTTTCTGTTTTGTTTGTTTGGCTGGTTTTGTTCTTTTTTGTTCCTTGTAAGTTTTTGATTGGTTCTAAAGGTACTGTTTTCTAGAAGTATAGTCTTTTTATTTTAATAGACATGTAAGGCATTATGGACATTTTCACACCGGCATTAACTCTTCTCCATCTTTACAGTGATAAGCATGTAGTTGTCATAAGCCAGAGGGGTATGTGGACTCAGTAAGCCTAATACCAAATTCAAAATACTTTTTAAAAAAATTTAATTGCTTTAAACTTTGGTTTCAAGAATTTGCTTTTATACAAATAGTAAAAGAAACACTATTTTCTCTTTTAGAATCGAGTCACTTGGAGCAACAACTTGAAGAAGCTAATTCAGTGAGGCGAGAACTAGATGATGCTTTTAGACAAATCAAGGCTTATGAAAAACAAATCAGAACGTTACAACAAGAAAGAGAAGAATTAAATAAGGTAAGAAATACGGATAGCTCGTTAAAGGCTTTCTGAATTCTTGTTTAATTTGTATCTTGAAAGCGTTCATAATGAATTATACATAGTGTATTTTATCTGTAAAAAGTTGGTTTAAAAAGTTAAGAATTATTTTGGTGTATGTCATTTGATTAATAGCTAGTAATGAAAAACTTACATTCTTCAGGCTTAAAAGTTCATAACCTTTTGTTTTGGAAAGTTACTAATAAAATGACTTGTTTAAAAGTGAATGTTACTGAAAAAGAAATATGGAGAAATAAGAGAATAGTAAAATCAGTGTAGCATCTGTGGAAAAATTAAAAATATAGGCACATTTTCATTGTGACTTGCTGATATCAACATTCTTAAAAGATTATAATAGAAAATTTCTTTAATGCTTTAATGATTTTTTAAAAAATGTCAGTTTGTCTTTCAAAGCATAGATGAACAAACTAAAGTTATTTTCATAAGAACTTTGTGTAACACTTAAACAGTGTCATAGACATCAGCAAAATATATTAATACTAGGACACCGTAATATAGTCCAATAGGTAAATAATATTGAAGCACTAGAGAAAAATACTGTACTTAATTGGCATATTTTTTTAAATGTTGGAATTAATACTAGCCAATGCAAAAAAGAAACGAGTGGCTTATGGTATAGTAAAAATCGTATCCTATGATATAGTGTATAATACATTGATAATACAGAGTGAAATCCTGCTGGGGAAGATTTGTAAGTCTTGCTTTTAAACAAATAACCTTTTGCTGATGAAGCTAATAAAAAAGACATGAAAGTTAAGTACATTTGTTCAAGATCATGATAGAGCTAGAAAGTGGTAGAGCTGGAATTTCAACACAAGAAGTGTAGTTCCAGAGTTCATGCTTCTCACTTTATATATCACTAGAACTGATTTGCTAATGTCTTTTTTTTTAGGATTTTTAAAAAAATTATCTTTATTGTTGAAAGTATTACACATGTCCTCTTTATTTCCCCCATTGACCCCTTCACCCTGCACCTGCCCCCTCCCTTTTTTAGGATTTTTAAAATTTGTTTTCATCAGTAAGATTATCTTGCAATTTTTTTCCTTACCTTTCTGATCTTTTCTTGATATCAAGATTATACTGATCTCATAGAATGAGTTAAGTAGCATTACCTCTTTTTGTATTTGCCAAAAAAGTTTGTGTAAGAGGAACATTTTGTACCTTGAAACACTGGAGGAATCAACTGTAAAACCATCTGAACTTGGAGAGTCTCTCCTGTTAGGGGGATGGGAGAAAGTTTATTGGTTTAGTTACTTTAATTGTTATAGGACTATTCAGGCATTTTATTTCTTCTTAAAACCTGTTGATAAATTGTAATTTTGTAGGCATTTGTTCATTTCATAAGGTAACAAATGTATTGGTACAGTTTTTCAGTACTTCTTTTATTACCTTTTTTTAACTCTTCTAGATCTATAGTTACAAACTCTTAATATTATTTTTTTGTGCATTCTTATTCCCTTATTTGATTTCATCAGATGTTTTCTTGTTTTATTTATTTATTTATTTCAAACAACCAGCTTTTGGTTTTGTCGACCCTCATTCTCACATTTCTTTTTCACTAATTTATACCCTTTATCTTCTCATATTTTGGGGCAGGGGTTAATGTGTTTTCTTTTTATGTGGAATTTCATTGCATTTCAAGCCTTTTTTTTAAGTTTCAGTGTAAGTATTTCAGGACTATAAATTTTTTGCTAAATACAGCTTTTACTGCTTCAAGTTTCAGTATATACTAAATATTTTTAGTGTTTTGCATTTTCAATTCTAAATAATTTAGTATTTTTATGATTTTTCTTGTTCACTAATGAATTTTTATGGAACTTCGCCTTTTGTTTTCCTCTTCCAAGGAAATGCTTATTGATTTTAGAGAGCGGAGAAGAGAGTGAGAGCGAGAGAGAAGCATCAGTTGGTTGCCTCCGGTGCGCCCTGACCTGCAGTCAAATCTGCATCCTTTTGGTGTATGGGACAGTGCTCCAACTAACTGGGCCACCCAGCCAGGGCTAGCCTTTTACTTTGTGATTTCTATTTTAATGATAATATTATTTTAAAAACTTGATCTGTATGATATCTGTTCTTTGAAATCTACTAAGACTTGCTTTATGGCTTAGGCTGTTCCATTTTTAAATGTGCAATATATGCTTGAGAAGAATGTGTGTTCCCAGGATTGGGTGCCAGCTTCTATATGTGAGGCTTGTTAATTGAGCTTTTTAAGTCTTTTTTTATATGCACAGATACCCATTACATATCACAAAGTTTTTATTTTGACCATTACATCTTGTATTCCTACACTTTTTATTTGTAGAAACCAAGGTACTAGAAGGTTAAGCCTGCAGTTCCTTTGCAGTTAGCATGTTAGCATAAGGAATTGAGAATTTGAACAGAGTACCATGCTCTTAATATCTGTTCAAAAGTAGTTCATTTATTTTAATTTTATCCTAAGGTGAATAATTTTGGCTCTTCTTGACTTCATTATAGCAACTTTGATGGCCAGATTTGGTCCCTAGGTTGCAGAATTGGTAACTTATATTCTTTTTACAAAACTGTAGGAACTAGTCCAGGCTAGTGAGCGATTAAAAAACCAATCCAAAGAGCTGAAAGACGCACACTGTCAGAGGAAACTGGCCATGCAGGAATTCATGGAGATCAATGAGCGGCTAACAGAATTGCACACCCAAAAACAGAAACTTGCTCGCCATGTCCGAGATAAGGAAGAAGAGGTGGACCTGGTGATGCAAAAAGTTGAAAGCTTAAGGCAAGAACTGCGCAGAACAGAAAGAGCCAAAAAAGAGGTTAGTAGTCAGGCAAAGTTTGTAGTGTCCGTGTGGTAGTGCTTAAAGCTGCCTTTTCAGACTAGTGAAATAAAAAATATTTCGTTCTTTAACTTTTCAAAAAGGTTATTTTTTTAGTTTGGTAATGTGATTTAATATGAATTTCAACATTTGCGTTATCTTCCTGTTACAAGGTAAATTCCCATGGGGAAAACATTTTCTTGGAAATACAGTTATAATCAGGAATCTACTGTTTTCATTTTATTTTAAAGCTGGAAGTTCATACAGAAGCTGTAGCTGCTGAAGCATCTAAAGACAGGAAACTGCGTGAACAGAGTGAACACTATTCTAAGCAACTGGAAAATGAATTGGAGGGACTGAAGGTATCATTTGATTTCACATTTATGAAGCTCAATTAATTTTTTCCTCTTTAGGCTTCAAAGGAGTATTAGTTATGTGCTTTCTTTGGTGTAGAGTAAAAATTAGCTATCCTTCCAACCTAGTATTCTTAATTCTCATTTTTACCAGTAGGAAGCTGATATCAACTTTCTAATCATGGTGGAAGGAAGGGAAGACTGTTTAGTGGGAAGAAATAATCTGTCAGGAAAAAGTTAAAATATTTATGCAGAGATGCATCCCTAGATAAGCTCTACTGGTAATTTACATGGGAGGCTTGATTAGATACCCGACCCTCTATCTTGTAAATGACTTAGTTGAGGCTCAGAGGAAGCTTTGTAGATATGTCTGTTAGGTGAGATGAGATCATAAGGGGCATGGGCTAACACATCTTCTTATTACTGAGAGTATATCAATCTAATTTCTAAAAAGGTGGCTTTCAACCAAATTTCTTCTCCTTAATGCCCTACCTAAATGCAAAGAGACCTATCATTTTTTTCTAGAGTGAATATGAAGATGTTAGATTAGACCTTTGTCACTTGTTCCTGGATATTGCAGAAGCCCCATCTTTTTTATTTTTGTATATTATAGCTCTACCATCCCCTACTCCAATTTAATCTTTTAAAAACAAATGTATTTATTACCTTTTATCGGTTCCATATCAGAAAAAAGATGCAGGTAGATTTTCCCCCCTCATCCCATACACCAACAGTAATTGTATATAAACCTAAAATTTTAAGTGTAAAACAAATAATTATGTAAGTATCAGCAGAAAATACAAATACATAATCTTGTGAAGAGGATTGTAAAATACACAATAATAAAGGAATGTACACTGAGAAAAAATTGCAACATGTGGCAGACAAAAGATTAATAGCCTTTAATAAAGAATTATTTTTATGTGATAGTATGCAGAAATTATATTTAGCTATATGAATAGTCCTTTATAGTATAGAAAGAAGTTATTTAATATTTTTTATTCTTATCGATGAACTAATCTTTTATTATTTTATAGCAAAAACAAATTAGTTACTCACCAGGAGTATATAGCATAGAACATCAGCAAGAGATAAGTAAACTAAAGACAGATTTGGAGAAGAAAAGTATCTTTTATGAAGAGGAATTATCCAAAAGAGAAGGCATACATGCAAATGAAATTAAAAATTTGAAGAAAGAACTACATGACTCAGAAGGCCAGCAACTTGCTCTGAACAAAGAAATTATGATTTTGAAAGACAAACTGGAGAAAAACAGGAGAGAAAGGTAAGAATCAAGTTATTTACTCCCCTGATATTTGTTGAATGCCTGGTATGTGCCAGGGACTAGAGCTACACAGGCAATAAACATGTTCCCATCCTCAAGAAGACTAAGTCAAGATTGGTAAATAGAAAATTAGAATACAGCACTATAGGAAAGCATATGGGATGTATAGAGGAGCACCCATAGAAGAGGCATGAAAGGTGACTTCAGTACATCGGGGTTTTTTGGACAAAATGATTTCTAAGTTAAGACCAGAGAAATATATAACTGGAAGAGTATCCAGGCAGAGGCAGCGGAATGTGTCAGGATCTAGAGGATAAGGGGAGCATAGCATGTTCAGAAAATGAAAGCTGTTCATTGTGGTGAAAACAAACAGAAAGGCGAGAGAGGTGAGGAATGAGGCTGAAAGGGAAAATAGAGGCACGCTTATGGAGGAGAGTAAGCAATTCTGACTATTCACAGGCCATTGCAGGAAAATGACATGATTATATTTATATTCTTAAAATATCACTTTTGCAACTGGATGGAGAATGGATTGGAAGGAGCAGACAGCAGATAGGAATTTGCTATGAAAGAGGACGTGGCTGGACCTTAGGTAATAATAATGAAACTGAGAGAAGTAGACAGGACTTGGGGGACATAATGACCAGATGTGAGAAATGAGGAACAGGAGAAATTATCAGTGATACTCGGATTTCTAGATTTTAGGCAACTAAATCTATGGTAATATTCGCAACTTATATTAGAAACCTAAGTTTATTCAGTTTGGTACATTGATTCAACAAAAGTTTTAGTACGTACTATGTGCAGAGGCACTGGGAACATGGCAGTGAACAGAGAGAAAAAAAATTATTCTTGTGGGGCTTTCCTTTAGTTATGGTGGAAGATTGTAAACAATAAGTAACATACCAAACATAATAGATAATGATACATGTCAAGAACAAAAAGTAAGGCAGAGGACAGGGCTGTGAAGCATTTCAGGGAAGGATATAATTACATATGTAGGATGCCCAGGGAAAACGATACTGAGAACGTGCTTTCTCAGTGAGGACTGAAGACAGTGCGGGGGGCATCTACAGACGTATGAGAGGGGTGTGGGGAGGGTGGGATGAATGGGCAGAGTACAGAGGAATTTTAGGGCAGTGAAACTACTTTGCATGATGCCATCATAGTGGAAATGTCATTGTACATTTGTTCAGACCATAAGAATATACGACGCCAGTAGTGAACCCTGGTGTGAACTTCGGAACGTGGAAGAGCAAGTAGAGTGTATGGGCACAGAGGAAGGCCGAGAGGGTGGTGGGAACATGTGATGTGCTGAGCTCTCTTGAATTGGGCATGTTGAACTTCAGGTGCCTGGGAGACATCTTTGTGGAGATAGCAAGTCAGCAGTTTGAAGCCCAGAAAAGCTTCAGATGTAAATTCAGAGTTTGTGAGCATAATAGTCATTGAAATCAGTAGTGTAGTAGATGAGAGAGGATAGCTCAGGGAAAGTGGGGGAGGGGAGGATTCCAGCACCCGAGACAGAATACTGAGGAGCACTGGCACCTATGGGAAGGATACAAGGGAAGTTGGTAAAGGCAGCTGAAAGCCAGGAGCTTGTGGTATCACTGAAGCCAAGAGAAGAGAACATTTCAGGAGGAGGGGAATGGACAGTACGGGCAAAGGTAGCCAGTAGGTTGGATGTAATGGCAATTAGATGGGTGGGTTTTGAGAGCGGTTCTTGGAGGTGGTGGCGACAGAATCCGAATTTTGGTGGATGAGGAACAGTTAGGCGACAAGAAAGTGGATACAGCCAACCCTTTGAAGGTTTCTGGATGGTTACCAGAGAACGCGAAGATGAGGAAAGTGGAAAATGAAATGCGATATAGGGCTTAGGGGAGAGTTTGTTTATTTTGTTTTAATATGGAAGAGACTTAAGTTTTGTTTCATGCTAATAGGAAAAACAAATTTTTTTTTTACATAGTAATTGTACTCAATTTATTTGAATATTTTTCTGAAGAGACTTTTTTGTAATTTTTCATGTTTTTGTCATTTGCTGTTTGGAGTTGCTGAATCAAGAAAGATTCTTAAACATAACTAAGTGCACATTGTGACCACGTAAATTAAGGAAAGTGGCATATTGCGCTTGGACACAGGACGGTTTATTTTCCTGTAATTTATCATTTAAATTATTATTTAATTTATATTCAACAATTTAGTGGTGCAAGGGATTTTTAAGATTACATTTTTAAAATCAAAATTATGTTCTTTGTTGAATTGTGTAAAATTACATTGAATTTCATTTGCTGCTAACTAACATCATCCATCAAACTGCTATGTAAGCCTCTTTATCTTCATTTCTCTATCAATCAGTAAAAACTGATTCCCTTTCTCCCTTAGGGGGTTTTCTAAAAGTCTGTTAGAACTGTGTTTACCTCTAATGGAAATCATTTCTGCCCCCAGAACTATCATTTTAAATAAACTTTATAATATTAAATTTGTTGTGTATGTATGTATAAATGGGTATGTAGGTAGGTACTTAGGTAGGAAGGAAAGAAGTAGCAAAGGAAGGGTTGAGAGTGTTGAGAGAATGGTTGGAAATTTAATTGTGAATTTTCTATGCTGTCAAGAGCAGAGTATAAGGACTCCAATTGTTGTTCATGTGCCCTCTTTCCCTAGCTGCCTGTTTTTCCTACACTTCCTAGTACGTGTGTATATATATAATCAAAGAAGTGAACCCGATCCGGAAGTATACAAATCACAGATGTCTTCCTCAGATTTTCAATTGAAAAACAAAGAAGATGTTACTAAGCAGAGGAATCTATTTATTATTTAAAAGGAAATGGTTGTGATTTTTAACTTTAAGGCAAAAGATTGGGATTTGGAGTAGTCAAGATCTCAGTGACTTTTCAGGATAAAGCATATGGTACAATAGCCAAACCTGGGACATCATAATTTTACTTTTAATTCAATTTCTTTTTTTTCTTTTATGTTTTGAATTGTGTTAGTCAAAGTGAAAGGGAAGAATTTGAAAATGAGTTCAAACAACAGTATGAACGAGAAAAGGTGTTGCTAACTGAAGAAAATAAAAAGCTGACAAGTGAACTTGATAAGGTGAGTGATCAAATCTCAGTTATACTTGTTGAGCATGTGCTAGATGTTCAGCATTGTGATAGAAACCATGGATATACTTTATATTTGGTGTATATTTTTTGTTTAATATTCCTCCTTGTATACCAGGATTGCTTTTTGGAACAGGCAATTTCTCATACCAATCCGTACAGGAGCGTTTTGGAGAGGGGATTTCGCTTATCTCTTCTTATACTTTGTCCCATTTATTTTTTTGAGCCTTTGTTCTTTATTTCACTTCCCATCTATTCTCTTTTTTATTCTCTATCTCATATTCATCACTTAATTCGGTCATGGCTAAGTTAAGGCTGGCGCTTGACAGGAACTGGAACAATTAGGCCAAACTAGAGAAGTTTTGACAACTAGAATATCATATTCATGCTGGGGACCTGATAATAGCATTGATCTGTAAGAATCCAAAGAAACCAACTCTGCCTACACTGTGTAGCTTGAGTAAAGAGCAGAACCATAGATTAAACTTGTAAATAGCCGGATTAATGAACAAAATTTCAAATACTTTAGTGTATCAGGTTTCACAAGTGGTCATCATTCTGCATTTCTTTTGCCAGCTGTTAACAAACAGTTGTAAAAATCCTATTAACCGGAAGTTTTGATGATTTTATTTACATTTAAATAGGGTTTGGATAATTGTGTTTTATAATGATTTTTAGGATTTTCCTCTAATGAAAGTATTATGTTCAATTATTAGTAATTCCAATAATAGACTGAAAGACCATGACTAATCATAAAAGGGAGACCATTGTATCTCTTTTCCATTGTGTTCCATATATATTTCCATTTTTCTCAGTATTTTTCCCAGGATTATTTAGTTTTCTAATCACAGACTAGGAAATGGCAGGATATGCTATGAACACAGGTAGAGTTCATATTTTTTATTCAGTAATAATGAAAAGGTTAACTTTTTTTCCTGAACAAATCTATTTAAAACTACTTGTAATTATTGTAACATGGCAGTGCAAAATTTGCAGTTCCTTCTCTTGCAAATCTCCAGCTGAAACCCCAACCACAGATTAGTTGGAAGGACTGTCGAAAGCAGTGATGATCAAAAAAAAGGATATGTTGCAGGAATTGGTGAAGACACTGCATCTGCAGAAAACGTTCTCAAAAACAGCTGGTAGATTTCTGGCTATGCTAAGAGCCTTTTTTTGAAGGCTCTCAAAAAAAAAAAAAGTTTTTAAGTGGACACATCAAAAACAATCATTTCAGAGCTCTTGGAATTAACCAGAGGATGACAACTACAAAACATTGCTGAGATAAATTAAGGAATGTCCAAACCATTGGAGAGAGATACCATGTTAATGGGTTGAGCTCATCTCTGCCCTAATCTCTATAGAATCTTGGTCAGTAGAGCCTTGGCTGCCTCCTCATCTCCCCGTGCCTTTCTGCAGATGAGTACTGCAGGAAGTATTCCTATATGAAAAAAATGTTTAATCCAGTCTCTGGTATTCTCTTTTATTTGTATATTAATCCTCACCTGAGGGTATTTTTTCCATTGCTCTTCAGGGAGGGAGGGGGAGAGAGGGAGAGAGAAAGAAAAAGAAAAAGAAACACTGACATGACAGAGACACATCAACCAATTGCCTCCTGACATTCCCCAGCGGGGGCAGGGAGCAAACCCGAAACCCAGGTACATGCCCTTGACTGGGAATCGAACCCACGACCCTTCTGTGTGCAGGCTGAAGCTCTAGCCACTGAGCCACACCAGCCAGGGCTATGGTATTCTGTTATAGCAGCCTGAATGAACTAAGCTAGGAACCTATAAAAGACTTGAAAGATGCAACAACCTATTTAAGCTATGTTTACTGTTGGTATTATGATTCAATTTAACAGATTTAAGTTTTTTGATATTTTGAGAACTGGAAATTTGAACAGTTACTACCTATGTGAATGTGATGATATCAAGAAACTTGTTAAATTTGTTTTAAGTATGATAATATTGTGGTTGTATTTAAAGAGATCCTGTTTTCTAGAGATACTTATACACATAAATTTACATAGGTGAAATTATATGATGTCTGGTATTTGCTTCAGAGTAATACAGGAGGACTGGTAAGAAAACGAGTACAAATGAATTAACATTGACATTGTGGTAATAGTTGTTGAGGCTGAGTGATAGGCTCGTGGGAAGTTACTTAAACTATATGTCCATTTTTATATATGCTTGAAATTCTTCATAAATATTTTAAAAAAGGATGACATAGAGGCATTTTCAGACAAAAAGTGAGAGAGTACTACTGGCAGAATTGGAGAGTTCTTTAGGCAAATGGAGAATGTTCACAAATGGGACTGATTCAGTGTAGGGAGCAAAAGGAAAAAGCAAAGGCAGGAGAATTCAGAGTGATGTTTCCAAATCCGTGACCAGAAGGGTAATAAGGTATCAGCAAGACAAGCATTTTTGAGTGGAATATGGTGAATTTACGATTTAACAAGAGGCATCTGAGCGCCTTGAGTTCCTGTTCCTAAAAGTCACATGTGTCTTGAAACTGCCTTTCAGCTTACCACTCTGTACGAGAACTTGAGTGTGCGCAACCAGCAGTTAGAAGAAGAAATAAAAGATCTAGCAGACAAGAAAGAATCAGTTGCACATTGGGAAGCCCAAATCACAGAAATAATCCAGTGGTGAGTAGTCTTTTAAATGTGTTTTTGTGGATGATTCTGGACACAGGGTCAAGTTGGTATGAATTCTAGGAGGCAACTAACAAAGTACCTTATTTTTTGCTATGAAAAAATAAGTTACTCTAAAAGCATAGTTTTATTACTGATATTATTTATTACTAATCTGTGTTCTATGTTTTCCATTACCTTCCCCAGCTCCAACGGATACCCCATGTCAGCTTTTACACAGCATTATTGAAATCTGGTATTGCTTTCTCTCCTAAAACAGTTGGTCCTTAAAGAACAGAAGAAAGTCATTTACCTTCCTGATGAAGGAAGGAAGCTTTAAATGTGAACTCTCTGGAAAAGATTGGTAGATAGGATGAGAATGAAAGTTTTTATATAATTCCACAAAATACTCATTTTATATTTTTCATATTCAAGTGAAATATGCAAAAGAAATCAGGAATTCGTTTGCTTAAAAGCTGTTATAGAAATGGCCTTGTATTAGATAACAAGTTATTAAATACTTAATAGGCTAAAAGAAAAAGATATATTCCTTGTTCTGAGAGTTCTCACCTACTTCAAAATTAACTCAGATATTCTATCCAAGCTTATAAGGTCAAGAGTCTCAGGCTATTTACAGTTTAGTGTGGTATATTAAAAAATGAAGTAATGCCAAAGCAAATGTTTGGAAACTTGAAATACACAGTAGTCTCCACTTATCTGCAGTTTTGCTTTCCATTATTTCAGTTACCTCTAGTGAATTGCAGTCTGAAAATATTAAATTGAAAATTCTAGAAATAAACAATTCATAAGATTTAAATCAGGCACTGTTCTGAGTAATGTAACGAAATCTTGCACTTTCCCACCCCATCCTGTCCGGGACATGAACCATCCCTTGACTACTCAGAAGTCTATATTCTAAAGATGCTAAAATAAGGCTCAAGATTTAAATTTGTATGCTGTATGCATCACAGATACATATTAATTTTCCTGAAATATTATACTTTGCTCATAGCTATTCAGTGGCCTAAATATTATTTTTGAAAACAACCAGCCTGCACAAAGTAGTCTTCCCCAGAGTGTATTAGAATATACTTCTGAGCGTTGCACATTTCAACTTTTTTCTTTGTGGAATTATAGCTTTCTGTATACAAATGATTTTCATTCTTGAGAATAGTACCTTTTGTAGATTTTCATATGGTAGCGCTCCCTGACCCTGTTCTTCCCTTGTTTAGAGGGGATGTAACAAAAAGCAGACTTTCTCTTGAGAAATTATAATATGTGGAATTTGTTTTATTAAATATAATTTGAAAACATTTCTACCTAAAATCTTAATAGTTGCATCAGCAAGATAGTCTTTAAAACAGTAAATAGGAACTGAGTTTCAGTAAACTTTAATCTTTTCTCTTTGATTATTTTATTTACCATTTTAGAAAACAGAAGAGCTTTGTTACAATACAACTTTGATTTTTGCAGAATATGCTTTTTTAAGCTAAACTTTCTAAATATAGTGTACTTCAATTTTAAGAAGGGCATGTTACGTTTTTATAACAAAACAGAATCCAATTAATGAGAAATCTTAATATTTTTTGGAAATCACGAGGGGTGAGTTTAATGTTAGATTAAAAGAGTATTACTTCTGTGGTTCTTGGGTGAAGTTTTACTGATTTATCAGGTATGAGTAGAACTTTTGAAAGAAGGTATTTGAGGACATCTTTAAATTTCTATAACTTTTCACTTATTTCTTTGTAATGCTTTAAAATAATATATATCTCGCTGAAGTTTTTGTTTTACTTTTGTGCTTTATCTCTGTTTTTATATGTACATATTTTAGGGTCAGCGATGAAAAGGATGCACGAGGATATCTTCAGGCCTTAGCTTCTAAAATGACTGAAGAGTTAGAAGCATTGAGAAATTCCAGCTTGGGTACACGAGCAACAGTAAGCTGCCATTTCTGCACAGAGACTCATCATAATGGGGGCGGGGAAGGCTCAGAAACACTATAGTAAATCTGAGTACATCAGTTTGTCTAGGCTTTAGCCTACTGTAAAGTTTTCATGAGAAATCAGTTAGTCCAAATCTTTTCAGTTTAGGAAATTATAACATAGCTGCTTAACTATAATTTGTGTGGCTAGTCATTATTGATAATAACTATAAAAAAATAAACTCTTACATTTGAGTATACAGTTTTTTCTAAGTTTAATGAAAAATATTTTTTCACAACCAGTGTTTTTATTCTGTTTTGTTATTAGGGAAAGATATTGCTTTTAAGTAGTTTCCAACTTCACTTGGCTTACTAAATTTAAGTGTAAAAAATAGAGCTAAAAACAGTCATATTATTTCATAGGATATGCCCTGGAAAATGCGTCGATTTGCAAAACTGGATATGTCAGCTAGACTGGAGTTACAGTCAGCTCTAGATGCAGAAATAAGAGCCAAACAGGCCATCCAAGAAGAGCTGAATAAAGTTAAAGCATCTAACATCATAACAGAATGGTAAGACTGAATTATATAGTCCTACTAGAATAACTTCTACGTTTGTCCAAAAGTATTTGGAGAGAAGGTACATGACTGGTTTCCATAAATCTTTTACACATCTTCCCCTTCCACATTTAGGATGAATCACTAAGGTCATTACCTAAATAAACATTCTCTTTAATTCCCTGCAGTAAACTGTAAATAACCCACTTTTTAAATGAAGAAAATCCAAAAATATTCTTGGAAGCCTTTAGTATTGGCTCAGGGAGCTTTTTTTGTTTTTGTTTTTTAATATATCTTTATTGATTTCAGAGAGAGGAAAGGAGAGGGAGAGAGAGAGAGAGAAACATCAATGATGATAGAGTCATTGATGGGCTGCCTCCTGCAAGCCCCCGACTGGGGATCAAGCCCGCAACCTAGGCATGTGCCGTGACCGGGACTTGAACCACAGTCTCCTGGATCCTAGGCCGACGCTCAACCGCTGAGCCACGGCCGGCCGGGTGGGTCGGGGAGCTTTGACAGAGAAAATATACAATGAGATCAGCAATCACTGTTGAATGGGAACCACATTACAGCTCCAGTGTGTGCTACTTACAACCTGCACCAGTGGGAACAGTGGCACTGCCACTTGGGAAGGTAGAGACCATGGGAGAAATCTAACAGCCTTGTGGGTGCACCTTGAGAATATTGCCAAGAGAGGACAAAAGCCTGGAAACACAGATTAGAAAGAACCAAAGAAACAGCTCCCAAAACTCAGACAAAGGCAAGCAAAGAGAATAGGAAAAAATCCAGTAGCACAGTAGTGATGTATAAACAGTGTGGAAAGCTATTCCTTCTTCCCTGGGAAATAATAGACTGAGCTAGCCTCTTAGGTTGAGAAAAGTGAGGAGAGAAGGCTGAGTTTGGCCAGTAGGACTGTATCTAAGAGATGCACGCATGCACACACCCATTCTCAGATGAAATTTATACTGAGCCCTGATAAAGATTTAAGCAGTTAAAAAAAAAAAAAAAAAAGCTACTGAGTGTCATTCTCTGTGTTGTAATTTGGCATAACTGATTTTCTTCTTGTTCCTAGGACATATGAGTTTTTTCGTAAATCAGGGATATGAGTCAAGCCGAAAATTATATATCTGCTTTACTTTAATGGTTCTCTATGAAAGAAGTCTAACAGAATTCTAAAATTAACTTCTGATAGTAAATATTTTGGGATCATATAGTTGCCATCTACTCAACTCTGCTGTCGTAACAGAGCTGTCATAGACAGTATATAACCATAGACAATATATAACTGAACAGGCCTGGTTGTGTTCCAGTAAAACTTTATTTACACAGGAGTAGATGACAGCCTAGATTTGTTCTCTGGTAGTTTGCATTTCCCTAATTTAGCATGACTGACATTTAAACCAAATAAGGACAACCAAATAAATGATGGCTCGCTAACCAGCAATAAAAATAATGACATTTTTTCTTTTTTCCCTTATTTAAGTAAACTAAAAGATTCAGAGAAGAAGAACTTGGAACTACTATCAGAAATCGAGCAACTGATAAAGGACACCGAAGAGCTTAGATCTGAAAAGGGTATGAGAATGTTTTTTGCATCAATCAGGACTTAATATTCTGTTACGAATACATTTTATTACACAAAAATCAGCTTCCTGTGTAGGTGGAAGAATTTTTCACCTGAGCAGTCCTGGCATCCATTTGTGTGTGTGTGTGTGTGTGTGTGTGTGTGTGTGTGTGTGTGTGTGTGTGTGTGTGTGTGTGTGTGTGTGAGAGAGAGAGAGAGAGAGAGAGAGAGAGAGAGAGAGAGAGATACACATATGTGGTAGACTGGTCTTTGAGTCCCTCTGTTTTACTTAATAAATGTTGTTTATAAAGATTTGATTGTAATAGAAGAACTCACCTTGTCATAAATTTACCTGTTTTTTCAGTGCCACGGACTATTTCATGAATAATATTTTTGTGATTGGAAAAAAATTATAATATACTTTATATTATTCTCACATAGGGGATTCACTCCCAGGGTAGTTGAAGAAACAATGTATGAAATAACTAAAGCTTAATCTAATCCAGTATTAAAAGAGAAATTCAAAGATAAAGAATTATTTTGGCATTTCAGTGTCTTTTTCCATGTTTGGTTCTTAAATTGCTTGCCCTGTAGAATTTCCCAAGTTTTATTCCCATCTTCTTGAAAACATTACTTAAGCATTTTTTCCTTTATTGTGAAAAGTATCTCAGAGTACTTGGTAGCTCTATTACATGAACTTCTTAAACTTTCTTTCCATAATATGGGCATTAAGAAGGTAAAATTTAATAAAAAGAAATTCAGAATGTTTTCTTAATGAAGGGATCTGTTATATGCAGTTGTGAGAAATTAATTTTCTTGACAAAGTCAGTATTCCTGACTGAAAACTGACCTAGTTAATGGGCTTTGTGCTATGCTTGCGTGCTTCCCTGCCATTTCCCAGCCCTGTGACACACAGTGGTGTAAAACCAGTTGGGCCTCTGCATCTGCTTTAAAATTGTGGAAGAAAGAAGGTAATCACATAAAGGAGTTAACATGGAATGTAGTAGACATGCAATAAATGCTTGTTGATTGAATTTCCTAGTGGACAAGAAAAGAAGCAACCCAGAAAAAGTGAATTAGGAACTCAGATTAGGAGCACATGGCAGTGCTGAAGTGAGAGTCAAACAGAGCTTGTTATACATGAAAATAGAAGGGAACTGTATTATAGAGAGAGTAAAAGAAAAAGAATGTAAGATGTGGAAGCTTGTGGCCCTAAGACAATTTATGTAGAAAAGAGACCAGTGCAGAGGATGACTTACTCTAACATGACACTGACTGCATCATTTTTAGAATAGACCTAAACTTGTGAAAGAAAAATCTCAAAGTTTATCACATTGCTCTGTTTTGAAAACGTATTAACCTATAACTTTTTATTTGGATTTGAACGTTGTAGAATAATGAAATTTTACTATATGTTGTAACATAATGTACTATACTGCTTAAACAATATAATGTAATATTCACATAGTGAGGGCAAGATTCTTTTTTTTCTGCTTTATTTACTATTCCCATTATCTAGACGTACAGCACATAATAGGCTCTCAGTAAATATTTATTGACTGAGTGAATTTCTGAACATACTGCCTTATCTGGTAACTGTGATATGTTATTAGAGAGTAATAAGAAAAGCACACAAATCAGTTGATGCCATTTCCTGAGGATATGGAAATAAAAAATGTATACTTGGTTATTTCTGCATTTTTGTCGCTAGTATTTATCATTATATGTATATTTTAAGAATTATTTTGGGAATTATGTATTTAAAGTTAATAGCATAGTCAAGAGATAGGCATTCATTCTGTCAATAAAACCGTACCTGAAATCAGATTGAGGCTTTGACAAAAGTTTTTTTCATAACTAAATACACTTGTTTTATCACTGCATTGTTTTTTTATAAAAGATTATTTATGTTAGTGCATTCTGTATGCTTGATAGTATATTTCAAAACAGAAACCTTGTGTAGTGATCAGTTATCTTAGAAAAATTAGACATAATCAGGCCTCTATTTTTAAATAGTCTACCAAAAGATTTAATGTGTTGTTTATAATGTACTATACAGGAAAAGAAAGAAATTTAAGAACTCAAGTAAGTCACGAAAACAAGTGTTTTGTGAAGAATAATACAATTAAACTATTAAGCGATATTCCAAGAAACTGTAATTTGGTTTTTTAATATGTAGAGTTAATATCGACCAGCTTTAAAATACAGTAGTTTGGGAACAGCTTTTAATAGATTCAGACAGGAAAAGGTATCCATGAAAATTAGTTTATTGTTCTAGTTTTAAGAAAAGTCGCTGCTGTCTTCTAGGTATAGAGCACCAAGACTCACAGCATTCTTTCTTGGCATTTTTGAATACGCCTACCGATGCTCTGGATCAATTTGAAGTAAGTATTAAGCTTTTCAACTATCCTTTGGGGTCAGTTTAAAAATCACTTGGTGATTTAAAATTCATTTGCAATAAAATTGTTTCATTGTATCCCACATAAGAGGACCTACACTCTTACATATTTAAAAACATAATAGGAAAGGAATATGTTCTGCATTCTATGGAAACTGCAATCACTTTTGTATTTAAGAAAACATATAAGAAAGGTCAACATATGAGAGTCATAAGATTTAAAAGCAATTTCACCTCTTCCCCTGAGAAACAGTAAATGCAGAACAAATCCTGATTTTTGAAGTAATTTTGACTCTTCTTTTTTCTCCAAAGCATAGAGCCATGGTAAAAAGCAGTTGAAAATGTCCGAGTTCACAATAGGGCATTGCTGTTTCTAGTTCCAAATTATTTCAGTTTTTAGGAGTTTATACCAGGAATGCTTTTTTAAAAAGGTATTACATAGAGTGTATTAGGCAGATGCCATGTTAACGAAATAGTGATTCTGTGACTCTTTACCATTCTTTGGTACTTAAATTCTTTGCTAAAAAATAACCCTTTACTATATAAAGTGTTTTTTGCCCCAGAAATTTTACGTGAGTGATTATATCTTTATTCAACAAGTAATCATAGGTCTCTGTGGAAGTCAGCATTCTAGGTGCTGGAGATAGAGTAGTGACGAATTAGAAAAAGTCCGCCCTCAAAGAGTTTACATTCTACCGGGAACAATTAGAGGCAGAAATTGGTTTTCTTTAGTTGTTGCCTTCTAAAGTGTTTACACTGAATTTGATTATTGATTTGCCGTGAGCTTCATTTTATTACATTTTGGGCACAGTATATGAACTATATTTCATTCCTTTGGGAAAGGGGTAACGAACCACTCTCTAAAAAGTAAATAATGAATTTCTAAGTTTCTTGGGAAACAATGACAGTGACTGCTTTTCTCATTTATTTATTTGAATTAATGTCATTTGCCTTTCAATTGTTTTACAAAATTTTTGATTTATTATTTGTTCTTACTAAATTGCTTCATCCATATTTTCTATTTTTTTATTGCTGTATTCGTTAAATAGGATTCCTTTTCTTCTTCCTCATCTTCACTGATTGATTTTTTGGATGACGTAAGTCTTTGATTTTCAAACCAATGAATCCTTCAGTAAAAGAGATCAGTGAATTGATGTAAAGAATTTGCCTAGTGCAGTCAGTTTTAGAAATACCACACTTGATAATTTGTGAGCCATAATTTGCCTCTTTCTTATCTTAAATGTAATGAAGAGTTTATCATTATTAAATGTAATAAAATTAAAATGTACTTTGAAAAATTCTTTGGCCATCAAAGAATCTGTATATTTTCATCCTTTGCATCAGTTCTGAAAAACGGAATGCTTATTTAATTATTGTCACAATATATAGAGAGATAAATGGCTGCTCATTTTTGTTTTTCATGGTGATTTCTATTTTACATTTCCCATCTCTTTTTAGCACTTTATTTAATTTCTCTGATACTTAAAAGTAAACCTCTGGTGGTATAATCAGAAAAAGTGACAAGTTTGATTAAATCTTTCTGTAGGTTTTATAGTAACACAATAATTGAGTACAAATCAATTTTTAATACTGACAGAATTTCTCTTCTAATGTGGAAAATGATTTTAATTCAGTTTGTTCTATATGCACTATAAATTGCATTATTTTCTCTCCTAAATTCTATACACTTAATAATTTAGAAGTTCTTAATGTATGTCATTCATTCTCTTTACAGAAATACCTGACATATGTATTCTCTTTATTCAACATTAAGTGGCACAGTAATCCTGTCATAAACCATTTTATTATTATGTTAAACATTCACTCTTTCTAGAAATTGGGAAAGAAAATTGGTTCAAATTTAAAGTTGTACATAGAACTAGTTTTTAAACCAGGGGAAAGTCTTTAAATGTTTTATTTTTGCATTTTGCTAAATATAATTATTATATTCAGAAGAATATTAAGCATAATTTTCCACTAAAGGAAACTCTTGATCTAGATTTTTTAAAATTATTTTTAAATTGATTTTTTATCTTTGAAATATTTATATCAGTTTTTGCACCTTTGCACTCTAAATGGAAACTCTTTTATTCTTAAACAAATAATTATTCTGTTTAATTCTACAGTGTGATAAAAAGAGAACTAACTTTCCTGATGTACAGTAGTATTTGATGTTATAATCTGTTATATATTTTACTATATGAACTACTCAATACGGTATTTCCATACAGATATCATTCACCTTCAAAAGAATTGGAAGATTGAATAAATTATTTAAATTGTTCTTTCCACTAGAAAATTATTTTCATTTTTCTTGACAAACTCTTCTCTACATTCCCTTTGTTCTGCAAACATTTTCTAATGTAAAACACAGGAGTTGTGTGTTTTGGCAAATAGGGAGCTTTTCCCAGCAGAAGAGCCTGTAGGGTGCACACCTCAGCTGGCTCCCCTCTTGTCTCTGCTCTCAGTGCTGCTGCCACCACCACCCAGTTGTAGTCACTGTTTCCTGCTTCCGTGTTTCTTCCAGGAGTACTCTTTCTTATCCTTTACCTACTGTTACTCAGCAAAAATTTCATTCAAACATACAACTAAATTTTAAAGCAGTACAGAGGAACAATTACAAAGTAAAAAGGAGTTGAGTTTTCAAAGGCTGCTGAATCTTTATGATTCAGGCTCCAACTCTTAAAAGACATGGTTTTTCCCTCATTTACTCCCTAAGCTCTCTTCTCCCAATTTATTATTGATTAAGCACATAAGTAGACTCAAATTCTGTCTCTGCTACTTTTTCTAGGTATATAATTTGGAGCAGGTTATGTAACGTTCCTTTGCTCATTGGACAAGTAGGGATAACAATAGTAATAATCGCATGGGTTTTTGAGAATTTTTTTTAAAAATGTATGTCATATGCTCCGCAATACTGGTTATTTCCTACTCTTCGTAGGCCTCTTCCCCATACCTTCCTGTGTTATCTTTAGCTTCCTTTCTTGTCCATCAGTTGTTTCATTTCAGTGCATTCTTAGCTCTTCACAACTCAGCCTTCCACCCCAGCCAATATGAATCAATAAACCTTCCTTCAGAATTGTCAAATCACATTACTGCAGGAAAATGATTTTTACCTGTCAGGGCAGAGGCCAGCAGTAAGCTCCCATTTACAAAAATACTGTGTAGTCTTAATTTGTATTTTATGGCATGAACCTCTTGCTTCTCTTTATAGTTTAGAAGTGTGACCACCCTTTCTAGAATTATCCAGTTTGTCCTCAAAGTCATAGTACAGGGGTGCTTTGAATAATGGTATTCTGTCTTTGGCATGCTTGGGTTCAGCTTCCAAGATATTTAGTATAACATTCAATTCTGTAGCTTCCTTTCTCAGGCGTTTGAATTCTTAAGGAATAAAATAAATGTTGATTGTTCTTGGTGCCCAAACTAGTTAGGTGGTTGTGCGTGATGCTAATAATATGTGACTGCCCTCTAAAGAAAGTAGCCTCTAACTCTTAACTAACCCATAGAACACATCCTCTGTTCATTCTTTTTTGTTTTTTATGTCCTTGCTATAGAAAAGGAAAAAATAATGCCCGGCCAGGCGTGGCTCAGCGGTTGAGTGTTGACCTAGGATCCAGGCGATCGGGGTTCGATTCCCGGTCAGGGCACATGCCCGGATTGTGGGCTTGATCAATGACTCTCTCATCTTTGATGTTTCTATCTCTCTCCCTCTCCTTTCCTCTCTCTGAAATCAATAAAGATATATTTAAAAAAAAAAAATGACATTGGAGACCTGAAATTTTAATTACAGCTGGAATTGTGGGTATAGGAGGGAATGAGGCTAGTATTAAGCAAGATTGCAGAAATCAAGTTTTCTTTGGTGGCCACACATTGACTTTCTCCATCTGCCCCCAGGAGCCTCGTGCCCTCATACCATCCTCTGATTCTTCAGGGCTTCATGGTGTGCCTCCAAAATCCACTCTATTTTTCCCTTAACCCTCCCACACAAGTCTACTAAAATTATAATTCCTTTACTTAAAACAGTACACACAGTCGCACTCCCACCTCTACTTTTTCCTCAGTATGTTTTGCCTTTAATTCAAAATTCGAATGGTCACTAGGATTTGGGCAATATGAGCAGACCTTTGGAGCAAGATGCCCTTTTTTTTAAAGTTACACTGTTTAGACAACTCTTTCTATGTTAGAGTGTTCTCATAGTTGCCTACTGTACAATGTAGAAAGGGATAACATAAATATTTCTTAATAGCATTTAAGTACTGTGGAATTTCAGATATTATTCAGTATTTATTAAGAATTTTTTAACTTACAGGCTTTACTAAACGTAGTACGATATTTCCTGCCCTGAAGGATCTGAGTCTGGTGGAAAAGAGACATCTAAATAGATAATTTTAAAACCATTGGGACTGAAGTACAATGATAAAAGATATGGACTGCATATCATAGGAGAGATCCAGTTGAACCAAGAGGGTTCAGAAAAGCTTTCTAAAAGAAATAATGCCTGAGCTGGGCCTTCGTAGAGGTTTATGGTGAGCAAAATGGAAGAGAAAGCTGTACAGGAGGTGTACATTATAGGCAGGTGGAGCTTGTTGG